ACATTTTTTCAGCCTTTGGAACAGAGTATGTTGCTAACAGGCCCAAGGACATTTTGACTTTCAGCCAAGAAACTGGCTACATTTCTTTGGGGTCTTTTTACCCTAACTGCTTAGCCACTTCCTACCTCCTATTCTTATCACGCCATCCTCTGAAGGGGTTACTCAAATTGCCAATAGGGAATAGGGACGCAGACTGCTCTGGCTTCTTCCATGCTGAACAAGGGCGCAGGGTGAGGCAACTGGAGTACCCCTTCAGTGGGTCTATCTAAAAGACTCCCAAATTGCATAATTCATATCTCGAAATGGAAAAGAAAGTCCTTGAATCGTGAATAGGAGATGTGAAGGAGAAGTAAAGATAAAAGTAATTAGCATTACAAGTTCTAGACAGGGGTGGTTATTTGCGTGTTTTGTCTATAGATATTTGATCCATTGATTTGATCCATTGTTTTTCTAAAATGGATACCACAGAGGTAGTGGTAATTAGTAGGCTGGTCCTCATTCAAATGACATCAGTCTGGCTAGGAGCTTCCAGTCTGAGACAAGCAGGTGAAAGTGGGGAAGCCTAGGGGAGGCTTCCCACAGGGACACAGAGCTAGGGTGCAGTGGGGGCAAGAGGAGTTAAAGAGATGAGAGAGCCCTCCAGCCAACTTTATGGCAACATGTTCTGTTCATGCTCATTCTTGTCAATTTAGAAAATATGACCTGTAATTTAGATCTTTAAGGGGGATGATTCCATAGTTCTGAGCCATTTTATTTCCATTCCTGCATACACATTTCCAGAAAACTGTAACATAGCCAAAAATACATTTAATCTATGATAGAAAACCAAAAAGGACTGAGTACGTAGAAGCAGACAGCTGAATGGTGGTTATCAGAGGCTGGAGGGAGGTAGAAGAGGAAAAGGTCAAAGATCCAATGTCTCTATTAAGGTTGATGAATAAATATTTGAGGTGATATGAATATGCAAATTAGCTTGATTCAATAATTCCACCTTGTATACATTTATCATAACACCACTTTATACCCCTGTAAGTATGTACAATTATAATTTGTCAGTATAATAAAAAATTAATTTTTTGAAGAAGAAAACAGAGTCATATTCCCTTAGTAATCTATCAACCAACACTAAGGATACTGACTAGTAGGGAGCCATTGGCTGATGATGCAATTGGATAAATAGCACAACAAGCCTGAAGTGAACTGTACTTACAGACCTTTGTGAGTGGTCACATGAAACAGCAAATCCAGATGCTGAAATGACCACATTTCCATAGTCAGATTCCTTTTCACTCTGAAAAGCCATCCAAGGAGGTGGGTCAGTTAGGGTTCTGACATTTCTTTGCAGGCACAGCCCATGCCACTGTTTTCTCTATTCTAAGTTTGTGGAATTATGAAAATACATAGCATGAGTTATATTTTAAAGACAGGGACCACATACTGGGGCATTTTATTCCTGCACATCCTTTTTCAGGAAAATGCAACCTGTCCCAAAATATATATAATCTGTTGATTTGTATTTTCACTCAAACTTAATGTTCATGCTTAGCAACGTTTTATCAAACCTGTCAGATTGTTTTCCTAAGTCATCAAGAACTAAACCTAACACTTGCATCTCAAAGATCTTTATTTCATTGCCTCTTTCATTTGTACAATAGAAATGTCTTCTCTATTGCAGTGGCAGAACTTGTATGTCCATCTGGTCACTGAGGACTCACTGCCCATTCCTTGGCTTCTCTTCTCCAGGAGAGTAGGGGCTGAATGAAGAGTTCAGTGTATGTTAATGACATCACTAAGGCAATCCTGTACCCAGAGCATTTGTTACACTAATGTACATTGAATTCCTTATTTGTGATACTATTGTCCTCCCTCATATTTAGATGAGATTGACACTGTTAGAGTGCTTTATGGGAGAGCAAAACCAAGTTACCCAGTAGCATGGATGCCCTTAAAGTCTGCCTCGTGCTTTTTGAAACCATATGTGTAGAGTCCTATTCTCTGAGCTTTATTGGAGTGCTGATATATGATAACTTCATGTTCAGGACGCAAAACAACCTTCTCTGCCTGAAGAGATCAATGCTAAAGCACCTGGCTTCTGCTCAATTGATGGCTTGCTGTTTTGAAAGCCACTCTCCATTTCCTTACTAAAACACACTAGGCCCATGCCCCATTCCATAATTTCTCCTATTACTCCTCTCTTCCTACAATATCCAAGCAAACAGTGTTGCAAAATGCAACACTAGTGAGAGCTCTGACGCTGAGATATTTACATGAATGCAATGCAAATATATTTTTATTATTAGACTAAAAGGTTTGTCCATTCTCCAAGAAGTCTGAGGATAATATATTCTCCAAAAAAAAAAAAGCAGTGAACAATACAAAACACTTCTCATATGAGTGTTTATCAGAAACACATTGCACTATTTAGAAAAGAAGAATTTGCTAGGCTGCTAAAAACGTTGGAAACCCAGAGGAATTTGCATTATTGCTTGACATTTAGATTTGTTTCTATGATATAATTTGTAATTAATTCATTCTCATATTTTATTTGCTTTTGGCAAATTTAAATATTGTACAATGTCTTAGATTTGTAATTTGTGAGCTTACATTTGATAATGACACCTGTAATGAAGCACATAATTGCTGTTTCTTTCTTGACATGAATGGCTTCATCTGAAGGGAAGATCAAGTTCAATAAGCTATAAAGTGATTTTCAGAACGTACTTCAATGATGGGACAGAGCATTCACTTTTTATCTATTCCTTTCTATCAAAGTATTAAAACCAGAGCAAATAAATGCTTCTATGATAAAGCAGATGTGCTTTTCTATTCTGTGTGGGCCTTTGTTAGCCTTTGGGGTTTGGGATGCTTTAGTGTGTTTGATTCTGAATAGTTAAGGCAGTGGCTTACAAAGTTCAGTCCCCAGTTGCCAGTATTAGCAATGTTCTGGAATTTGTTAGAGATTCTCAGAGCCCCCTTCTAGAACTATGGAATCAGTCTCCTGGGCTGGAATAAGCTTCCACATGACTCTAGACACAGACTAATATTGATTAGCGGTGTCCTGGAATTTGTTAGAGATTCTCAGAGCCCCCCTCTGGAACTATGGAATCAGTCCTGGGCTGGAATAAGCTTCCACATGACTCTTGACGCAGACTAATGTTGATAATCACTGCTCCAGCACTTTGCTATTCAATGTAGCCCATGGACCAGCAGGAAAACCTGGACTTCTATGAGAAATACATGATGTCAAGACAGACCTTGGAGTGTCAGCATCAGAGTCTGCCTGTTAGTGAGACACCCAGGTAGTCCACATGCACACAAAAATCCAAGAGTCCGTGATCTAAGATTTTAGAATTTAGAGCCAAGAGCTCACCAGTAGATTCAGAGACACTTGGAGAACTCTATGTTGATCTAAGTAGAACTAAGTAGAACTCTATGACTGCTTTGCTGTTTGGCTAGCCCTCTCTACCTCTAGAATTAAAAAAACAAAAAACAAACAAACAAAAAAAACTCAGAAGGGCTGGAGAGATGGCTCAGAGGTTGAGAGCACTGGTTGCTCTTGTAGAGGACTTGGGTTCAGTTCCCAGCACCCACATGGCAGCTAACAACCATCTGTAACTCCAGTTCAGGGGATCCAATGCCCTCTTCCAGCCTCTACAAATACTGCACACATGTGGTGCTCACAAAACATTCATACACATAAAATAAAAATAAGTAAACTTAAAAAAGTTAAAAAGCAGAAGAGATTTGTAAACTTCTTCCCTAAAGTATTAAAGTATTCAAAAATATATAAGGGCACACTGTTTTCTACATTGTGTGATCAAAAGAAACTTTATTTTGTTACAAGACCTATTGCATAGGTAAAAAATGAGTTGTAGGCTGTAAGTATATGTATATGTAGACACATATATGTTTGTACATAGTATGTATGGGTATGTACTTGTATATATTCATGTGTGTGTGCATGTGTGTGTGTGTAATATCCAGCAACAGTCTAGTATCCCACAAAGATCTAGAGACAGGTAAAGGCATAGTTTTCAAGACTCAATTTTTTAATTACTTCACATTCACAAAGCTATTTCAGAGGTCTTTTCTCTTAGTCTGTTTACTACTCTTGAATTTAATTTTCAGTAACATGGTTGTTTTAAAGAAGCCTTTTCTTTTTAACCAGTGAAGGAAGCTGCAAACATGAGAGACTTTCTGTCTTTCATCACAATGGGGTGATGGCTGTGCTGTGGTACTGAGAACCATTGACACAAAGCTGCTGGGGGAGGTGGTGAAGTTTGCCTCCTTCCAAGGCTTTGACTGTTTTATATCTGGTGGTGCTGAACCTTGCTTCCAGGCAGAAAACCATAATTGACCAAGTAAAACCTTATTTGTCCAAAATATTTTTATCATGGGAACATATGAACAGGAAAGGATTTAAAAAAATCCTTTTGAAATCTTTGCAACACCCCCCATATGTAAATAGGTCTGTCACTCCTCTGTTTGTCCACAGCTAGAGCTCCAGATGAACCAGTGTAGTGTGCGGTGACAGGAACAGCTGACTCATTAGTAGAGAGCAGTGAAAGGTAATTAACCCTGGGAAAAGTACAGCTGCCGTGCGGGCTGTTCCTTTCTGTAGGATCTGATTAGAAATTAGTGTTAAACCACTGATTCTTTTTTTTTTTTTAAGACAGTCAGTGATAATTCACTTTCCCTCTCAGGTGTGTCCCTAGAAAAGCTTTTCAAAAGTACTTATGTACAAAAGTGCTAAAATCTAAAACATGTTTTCTGTTAACAGTAGACAGACACCTGTTTTCCTTGTTCTCAGAGACTTCTTTCAAATAATACTATGTCTGACTGTAGAAGAGGGCAGTACCCGAATCCATATTGTGATACTCAGTTTGTGATTGCTTTAAAGGATAGTTTTATGTCGTTAATAAACTGTGGTTAACTGTTATTTAATTAAGTCTTCTCTTTTTTTCTTTCCATGTTTTCTCTGATGATGCTTCCCTCCAAAGCAATGGAAACTTTCCAGTTCAAATTCAGTAGCTGTTGAGGAAGGTAAGTGAAACCTTAAAATTAAACGTCCTCTTTCACTCAGTGTCCATCAAAAATAGGAGAAGCTGAAGAACCTGATTTTGCAGAAGCAATAATGATGTTTTAATAGTTAATATTGGTATCATCATGATCATTTGGAATATATTCATAATTTTTAGTCTTGGTTTGTGACTTTGCATGTCTGATGATGAGGAGTATTACTATTAAAATATTAAGAATTCATATAGGCCCACTGGGGGCACTGCAGATGCACGCGGGAAGCCAGCCTTCCAGCAGAAAGCAAACACAAAAGTAAAGAAAATTAAAAAAGAATTCATATAGATGACTAGAGATTGTGCTGCATAGGAAAATGCCCCTGCTCTCAAAGATTCCCTGAAATTGATGAGTGTGTTAGTTTGCATGACAAAGGGGCTATGACAGTTAAGAACCCTGAGGTGGAAAGAATATCCTGAACTATTCAGGAAGACCGAACTACCCATGATGCTTAAGAAAAGGGAGAAGAATGAGTCAGGGAGCTACAGTTACAATTGCATAAGGATTCAGTCCAGCCCACCATTGCCAGTTCTGAAGATGAGTGAAGGGGCCATAGTGAAGGAAAGCAGCATCCTCTAGAGGCTGAAATGACTCCCAGTGTCAGGCAGCAGCTGTCAAAAGCAAAGAACTTGACTCTCCCAACCCAGATGAGTGAAGAAATAGATTCTCCCTTGAAGTGGAGCATGACTTGGCAACTGTAAGGTAAAAAGTCCATTTTAAGCTACTGAGTTTGTGAGTATTTTCCAGAGAAACAATAGAAATGTAATAGAACAAGTCAACCAATAGATAGGGTACATTTTGCAGCTGGCAGTACAGATCCTAGAAAGAATATTGTGTTTCTTAATGAAAGAAAATTCTTGAGAGGCCGAAATTGATAGCCTGAGATACTTATTTTGGGATCTTAATGATGATTATTGATCTTAAAGACTCTAATATGTCATTTTGGGACACCTCTCCCTTTCAGAAATGCCCCATATAATATATTTGTAAACACAGTAGCTGTGTCAGTGGAAAAGCAAAGGAATGTGTATATTATGGACTCTTTTCAGTGAGCCTGGGTGAACATGAGCATGGGTAAGAATAATGGAGTAACAGAGAGGCCAACAGTCCAGGTCTCTGCTGCAGAGATCAAGCCCATACAAGAGAGCAGGTGGCCAGTGAGTCAGTCTTACTTCCACCTCTTGTCACCTGTGTGACATGGGGGCCGGTAAGCTTCCCCATTTTTGTGTGTAAACTGGTATGTCATGATGATAAAAAAACATCTCAAGTCAGGACTGGGTGCGTATGCAACACCTATGGGACTGCTTCACCTTGACAAGTATTCTGCAAAAATGAAAGGCATTTACTTAGGAAAATCCTATCTCCTTTCACTATTGATTTTTTAAAAAGGCTAGGCTTGCTTGGCCTTTCTCCTGGTTAACTTCCCTTTTCTTTACAGTACCAAAGTCATCAGTTTCAAGCACATGGCCATACATCATTTAAGTAAAATATAAGAACCCAGCAGTTAGCACCTTCTGGCAGATTTTGAGTGAGAAAAGGGAGACCCTAAGAACTAGGATCTGTGTAGAGTTTAAACGAGTCACAGCCTTCATAGGCAAGGGTTTTCTCCAAATCTGACAAAACAAGGCTAACTATATTTCTATTTCACATTTGGCTTTTATTTCCCCAAAAGAAGCAATTTAAAGTGATGTGATTTTTCATGTAAATGAGGTAAAAGTAGACGTTGTGCAAAATCATACATAGATCCATCATAATTCATACCCTGTCTTCTTTACATTTGGGAAATATATTTTCAACATACAAGAAGAAAAGATTACTGGGTAGGGTGGTTCAGAAATGTAATCCCAGCTCTTGGGAACCTGATAAAGAAGGAGCTCAACTTTGCAGCTCATTTGCATATAGCAAGACTTCATCTCAAAACAAACAAAAATCTTGTGAGTTTTCTTTAGCTAATAGAGTAACCAAACCAACTAAACTTACAATATCTTAGATTAGAAATTTCTGGGGTGTTATTTTAAATCAATTGATAGGCTAAAATCTCAAGGGATCTGAAAATGATTATTTTGGGCTTATCTCAATTCAGCAATGATGTACTGACCACACATCATAGCATAAAGTCATGTCTTTACGGTATAAAGTCATGGTGTAGGGGCCTACACCAGCCTAGGGAAAAGCAGACCGACATGACCAAGTGGACCAGCAGGCAGAACCTAGTCATCAGAATGGACATGCCATCAGTATTCTCTGGGAGTCCAGGATTCCGGGAGGTGCTGTCAACCACAGCAGGAGTGGCAAGGCACACATCAAGAGACAAACTTTGCAGTTCTAATCCTGAAAGGAGAAATTTCTTAGAAAGTCACCAATAAAACCAACAAATTCAAGACATTTAATTCTAGCTATTTAATTTGACCATCTGACTTTGATCCTTTCAGAACTGTATAAAAATATGACTTTGGTGCATTGTTTCGCCAATTTGGCTGCTAGTACCCTTTCAGTTGGTCTTTGCCAGTCTCCCCAAGGATGAATGGTTCAGGAGCCATCCTGGTCTAGAAGCTTTTCCAGGCTAGTCCATATTTATGCACCCACTCTCTCCTCTTTCTCCTCCTCTCTTAGTGCTTTCCACATCGCACTGCAATCCTCAACTTGCTGCTTTCTATTGCTGAGGGCAAAAGTTGTGTTTTATACATCTTTTAATATCAGTTGTGTAACATAGGACAAGATACAGATTTGCTGCCCAGTAACTATATATTGAACCTAGTAAATTTTTAGGAGGAAGATATCTGTATCAAAATGCTCTTTTTTAAACATCTTAGTTTACAGTGAGAATAGAATTCAAGGATTATTTTTGCAAGATCCATTAGCTCACTGACTTCAATAGCTGAGAGTCCTATCATTTTCTTAGTAAATTTCAGTTGAGTCTCCTGTGCTATGTTTCATATTCTGAAAGTTAAGATAAATGGCTATGTTCTTTTATCCTACTTCATATTTACAGAATATGGTGAAAATGTTAATGAAAACCAAACAGTTACTGTTGAGAAAAACAGCAGACTTGTTGAAAAAATTCTAAAGCCCCTCTTAACAGTAGGTAAGGAAAATGGAAAATGTCCAAGAACACCAAGGATACTGTGTGACCATCTATAATAAAATAGCTTAGAGACAATTCCCTTTGCACAATGAAAAGCCTCACTTTTGAATCAACAAGTGCTCTTTGAACTCTATTAAAAGTGTTTTGACATTATAAGGTTGTTTAGTATAGATTTACTCAAAATAGCACATTTAGTTGTAACAAGCCTTGAAGTTAAGTGGTTAGTGTAATAAAATGGAGTTTCCATAGTTACCACAGGAGAACTTTTCATTTCTTTGGAAGCCAGGAGGGAGCTTTAAAGAAAAGATTAAGCAAACAGACTCAGGCAGGTTCTTTGGATGGCGCTTCACACCTGATTGGCTATTTAAAAGAAGAAATTCTTGATTTTACAAAAAATTAGAGTGTTTCCACTAAAATACAGCAGCACGTTATGAAACCCCAACTTTTGTATTTTCTGGGCATTGTAAACCAAATTTCAAGTCAAAAGAAAAACTAGATTAACAGGTAGCCCTGTCAGATAACATTTTCATCCACAGTACTTTACCAATAAAAAAAAAATGTAAACGAGTTGGTTAAAAACCCCTTGCTGAAGATGGCAATGGCAGATCAGTGGATCATAGGCAAGTTTGTTATTCACAATCAGAGGGACATTTTGTTGAAATGCCTTGAAGAAGGGAAATTGCAATCGATGCTGGTGAAGATGTCTTCCTGTGCCAGTCTCATTGTTTTGTTTAGCGTTAAGATGCGCTCTCACTGTGTTTAGCGGAGGTCACTGCCACTGTCCTTTCCTATATCTAACCCAAGGAATTCTTCACAGTTGCCTGTTGAGACAACAGAATGATATGGTTTCTAGACTCTCAACCTTCAGCTCACCAGCCTTTAAAGCAGTAGTGATTAACAGGACTTTTACAAAGTTTCTATGTAGTTACAAGGACAGTTTCAATCTTCTGTCATTTTTTTGCATTAGCTATGATTATGCTTTTACCACAAAAATGCATTTGTTTTAAAGGTAACAATACAGACTGGGAGAATAGCTTATGTTTCATCTATATTTATCAGCACTCACTGTACATTTGTGTCTTCATTACCAGGAAATATTAAGGGACATTGTGCCATCTATTCCTGTTTACAGTTTATTATGCAGAGATAGGAAACACTTAGCATGTAAAATGAATGTAGAAATTATTCCTGGATAGAAACACGGACATTTCCCACTCGTTGGCTCTTTCTCCTCCATCACCGGATCAGAGTGTAATTGTCAGTAATCAGGCCTGCTTGCTGCTGATAAAACCACTCTGAATGCTAGCAGCCTTCTTTGTGTGATGACTCAATTATTCCAGAAGTGCCTCATCAAATCTGCCCCATCAGCTGGGCTAATAAATAAGGAGAAGAAACTGGCCCCCCAAAGCAAATTATAAATCCATTTGCATTAACCATTTCGCTGGTCCATGATCTAGGCAGAAATAAGCATGGCAGATTGTGTTAAGCTTATTTGAATATGTTTATAATGTTTACAGCATGCAACTTTTTTCCCACAAGGTGTTGGAATTATCAGTCATGAATGGCATCTAAATGCAGTTATGTTAATTACAGCAAGGTTTTAAGTATCTTTGAGGGCTATTTTGTTGCTTAAATCAGGTGCAAGTTAAATCATCTTGAGAGAAATATAGATCTTGCATAAGTTATTGGAATTGCTTCAGACTTTACGGAGAAGAGATCTGTTTTATTTTTACAGGGACTGGAAGGACAAATATAAATATTATCTTGCCTACTAGTGTGAATACAAGTTTTTGTATGTGTCACAGTAGAAACCAAAGTCATTTTGATCCTATGTGTGACTTCAGCAAACTGCAAAGCAAAATTTGCCTATTCAAAAAGCAAATCA